ACTCGTATGAACAAGCAGAAGTCACTAACCAATCAAGAAATATAAGTTGATCAAATAAACTTTAATATATAAAACTAAAGAACAATGTTGTATCCTTATATCTCACCACCATATTAAGAAAAATAATATATATATATATATATATATATATTGTAAAATTATCTCAGGTAGACTGAGTTACGAGTAAACAAAGAACCAACAAGCCCTAAAACAAAAGTATAGTAAAACATTAATTTATTCTCCATAGATAATTCCAGCAAAATACAACACCTTTCTTCTCACACTATATTTTTCTATTTTCTTAGAAAACTAAGGACATGCTATAGTTTTGCTATAAAGATGACCCACAGCTTTAATTTATTTGAAATTTCTCTTTATCCTCTCTTAGAACATATAGAATGTACAATTGTGCTAGAACAAAGCTCCATAACTACCAGATAAGGTTTTAACTGACCTGCATTTTCCCTCGTCACGGGATGACACTCATATAATGTTGTAGCAACACCATATGCATCATCAGATGGTCTGTTCCAGTTCTTCAGACCCGCTATAATGTCTCCTTCCTCTCCAAGAAAATCCTGAACCTGAGTTGAATCTTCTGTGTTATTACCCTCCAAGTGTTTTCTACCTCCTAAGTGTTTAATGAGAGGATCATTTAAGTTTCTTTACATTACAGAACTGCTAATTAAAATCAATTATCCAAAATTAATGTATGTAAATAGAGAAAATGAAGAATTCCTTTATTTTAGCAAACAACAGAAATTTTAAAGGTTGTTTTAGAATTAACTATTTCTGTACAAATCTGAGTTGAGATGACAAAGCTTTCACTGAATAAAACTGGGAAAGAATATTTATTCATTCAATAATGTGAAATAAAATTAACTTACAAGTTCAGAAATCTTGGAACAGTTTCTTTAGTTCACATCGTAATAGTTGTTCATGCAACTACTGATACAAATATTAATTAGACCAGGAGGCCTGATGAGCCCTGGTATTGGGTAAAAGGCCTTACCAGCAATGGATATAGCTGATAATGTGTGGTTTACATATTATTACATATTCTTTGTTTTCAGCCAAACATTTTAGAATATCTTATTAAAGACAAAACGACAAAATTAGGTATTATTTAAGTCCTCAAAAGTTCAATGGATCGGTACAATGTAAGAACACTTGTTATTACAACCCAATAAATAGTACAGCTGGGCGGTTAACTCAAAATAATACTTTATATCGATCAGTCATATAAAATAATCAATTAATACAAATAATGATTAAATAAATTAATGTGAAGCAAAAATAAGTTAATTCAAATTAACATTTGCAACTATTGAGTAATCAATATTAATGTTAAATCAATTATAGTCATTAAAATAATCAATTTATTCAAATTAACATTTGCAACTATTGAGTAATCAATATTAATGTTAAATCAATTATAGTCATTAAAATAATCAATTTATTCAAATTAACATTTGCAACTATTGAGTAATCAATATTAATGTTAAATCAATTATAGTCAGTAAATAATCAACTAATTAAAATTAATGTTTGCAACTATTGAGTAATCAATATTAATGTTAAATCAATTATAGTCATTAAAATAATCAATTCATTAAAATTAACATTTGCAACTATTGAGTAATCAATATTAATGTTAAATCAATTATAGTTATTAAAATAATCAACTAATTAAAATTAGTGTGTCCAATTACTCCAACTATCTAGTACTTAATATATATTGCCAATATGATTTTCTATTATTACTTTCAATTAATTCAACTTTTTTAATCAATAAAAAATAGTGACTCATGGAAAAAGAACAGCTAATCAAAATTGGGGTTTTTGATCATTCCAACCATCCAAGTAATTGAAATATGTTTGTTGTTAAACACAAAGCTGCACAAAGAACTGTCTGTGTTTTTGTCTATTAAAAAAATTGAAACCCAATTTTTAGCATTACCAGGTTGTTTTTAGCCATTTCATGGAAAAATAATTAATTCTACAAATCATCCAATCAATATTCATTATTCCAATTAAAGTCTGTCACCTTCTTTATGGACACCATTTCTTGCTATATGCAACTTTTCTGTGGATGTAGCCAACTCTTTATCCCCATCAAAACTCTCTTTAATATCTCTGTCTATGAAATCCACATCAGGTTCTGACAAATGGAAAGACCTTTTGTTTCTGTTCACCTTCGTTAAACCACCAAATGGACCAGTGAATGCAGCCACATCTACATTAGAAAGGCTGCTGATTTCTTCTACAGGTAGATCATAACATGACTTACCAAAGAAAATCTCTGGTTGTGGCCTTGAGAACTCCCTGAATAGAGTAATAAAAGAAAAATAATTTTCAGTTTACTTCAGCTAAGTTGTATTAAAAATTAAATAAGATAATAAAGTTTAATAGCTTTAACTAAATGGACAAATGTTTACCAAAACTTGTATGAATGATAAAGCTGTACTGCTACTTGACAAAAAACTACTGGTTGTTTTTAATAAAGATACAGTGTATTACTGCATGTACAGACATATGGACTCCACGTACACAAAACTTGTAAGAAATGTTAAAGCTGTACTACTACTTGACACAAAACTACTGGTTGTTTCTAATAAAGATATAGTGTATTACTACATGTACTTCACATACACAAAACTATATGATCTGATTTCACACAATTCAGATTCAAGTTGAGTTTATTTATTCATTTTCAAAGAAACCAGCCTGGCAACTTATTTCTATAATAGGACACATTTTTGTATTGTAAATATTCATGATTATTTTTTAACTGTTAATTGTTAACAAGTCTGTGATGCATATGACAATCTTAGAGAACAATCTAAACCTAACACACAACACGACTTCTTGATTTATGAACACATACATACATCTTGTATGGATATAAAAACTGCAAAGGAGGTTATGCAGTTACAACACTACATGAGTGTAATTCGGTGACGAGGAACTCACTTTGAGACTAATAATGGCTGGAGACGGCTTGAATGGGTAATGA